CAAAATTATAACTGTAAATTCAAAACACTTAGCTTCTAGGATATCAAGCATAAGTATAAGATATTTTAAAGGTAAACATACAGTTTAATTACCTTGCAAATACTATACTTTATCCCTCCTTCAAAACACTTAGCTTCTTGGATATCAAGCATAAGTATAAGATATTTTAAAGGTAAACATACAGTTTAATTACCTTGCAAATACTATACTTTATCCCTCCTTCAAAAAAAACTAGCAGAATAAAAGCATTGTTTCTAAAAAATCGACATATTATTACACTGTTATGTTAGTAATAATTAGTATTTAAACTAGAGGTAGTAAAAGACATTTTTGAAAATGAAAAACTTAAACTTAAATTCTATGAGATGAAAAAGGACAAAGGTCCAGAAATCAGACTTGTAAAAGTTTCTGTTGTGATAAAAAATTAGGAGTACAATAGTGATCTACAAAATAAAGCTTTTCGTTCACTTATGTGTTTGCTATGGCTGGCCAAACGGCTGAATCAAATGGGCTAAATTTTAGTGAGGAACCTCATGGATACCCTTCTAGGGGATGACATGAGCAAAATAAATTATATGTTTTTTGCTTTAATTCTATTTTTAAAATTCCGTGGGCAACGCCGGACGCTTTTTCTAGAATTTGTAATAAAAAGAAAGTTTACAAAACGGCTCTGCAATGAATAAAGTAAATTAAATATAAATTAAAAAAATAGTCTTTTACTATACCTCCAAACTCAAGCCTTCGTGGCTTGGCATTTAAAAATAATTGTTTTACTTCGCTTCTCCTGATAGCACCCATCCGATTAGGATGAATGTGCATTCTAGATAGATTTTTCATTTGGACTTTTTCATGGTGGCTCTGGTGCACGTATACAATCTTCTTAGTGCACTGAATGTACAGCAAACTAATTTTCTATATTCTTCACTCTTCAGTTTAAGGTTTGAAAGTTTGAGAGCTCTGAGTTCTAGGGGGGGGGGGCAATGCCCCCTCCCCCCTTGTATATGCCCTTGGTTGAAACACTCCGGTATGGTGAAGACGACATGAGCTATCTAGTCTAATTTATCTGGGCCTTATTAGCACTTGTTTTATGAATATTTCTTCCATGATAATTAAGAAAAGGTACCAGATTTTAGGTAGCGTTTCTTTGTGTAAATATATATTCACGCAACCTTGAAAATGTGTAGATATTTTGGTATGTTAAGGTATTTAAAAATGAAAAGTTGGTACAAAGAAATAACTAAAATTAATGTAAAAAAGAATTTTTAATAAAAATATTTAAATTAATCAACATTTTTAGGTTCTGACAGAAGTGAATGTTCTCTGATGTTCCACAATTTCATTATAAAATTCTGAATAATTGTTTTCATTTAAGTTAAATTCTAAAATAAAATTGAAAAAATAAAAAAAGAAGATAAAAACAAGAAGGAACGGGATAATGCTAAAATAAAAGAAGATAAAAGCAAGAAGGAACGGGATAATGCTAAAATGACAAATTAATAGAAAACATAAAAGATTGTAAGAGCTACAAGATGTCCTAAAAAAGTGTAATAAATCAGCGCGTTATTCGATAAAAGTCTTTGATTTAAAAAATGTAGTGGCCCTGGCTTTAAATTACAAGTTTGGTAAAAGTGTATGCATTCTATTCCTAGGCAACCCGCAAAAGAGAAGGCGTATCTTTGAATACCCTTTTGTAAGAAGGGACAGCCTGTAGAAATCAAAATGCATCATGGGATACCCTGTATAAGATGAAATGTATAACGCCCTGTTTAGAAGGCAATGATTCCGTGGACACCCTGTTTAAGTGTTTAAGAGGAAATGTATCCTTGGACACTCTGAATGAGAATAAATGTAACCTTAGACACCCTGTTTTAAAAGAAATGATTCTGTGGACACCCTCACAAGAAGAGACGTGTATCTTTGACAATTTCTATTAATGTTTCCTTGGAGGGACATAACTCCTATATGTCCAGTTTTTATATCCGGCCCAGTCCAGATTTATATCCGTCTAATAGACGCCTCATCCTCATCCTCTCATCCTCTCATCCTCATCCTCTCATCCTCATCCTCTCATCCTCTCATCCTCATCCTCTCATCCTCATCCTCTCATCCTCATCCTCTCATCCTCAATCTCTCATCCTCATCCTCTCATCCTCATCCTCTCATCCTCATCCTCATCCTCTCATCCTCATCCTCTCATCTTCATCCTCTCATCTTCATCCTCAATTTCTCATCCTCTCATCCTCATCCTCTTATCCTCATTCTCTTATCCTAATCCTCTCATCCTTAATAAAGAGAAGTTAAAAAGAGAGAAAAATGAATGATAAGTGTTCTTGAAAAGGGGGATTTGAATCGTTCATAATACCTTTGAATTTCATTTTAGGTTTATTTCCTTTTATGACTTTATCATATTACTCATAAATGCACTTTACAGCTTTATATTTGTATAACGCCTTATAATATAGTTATTCTGTGCAGTAAAGTTTAAATGGGGCCTCTAGCTAGAATTTTATTGTTTATTGTCTGATAGTGGGGTTTAGGAAAATATGGAAAATATGGTAATTCTTTTAAATAATAAAGAGCAAATTTGCAACAAAACTAAAGGGATTGTAGTCGAAATTTAAAGTGGCTCTCAATTTAAAGATTTTCAATGTGAAAAACTTCCTCCCTTTAACTCTTATTTATTTTTATGTGTTCCACCCCGAAAAGAAGGTACCCGACCTCTCCTTGACGGATTCCTGTATGTTTACGAACTGTATCAGTAGCTCCAGCTCCCTCCATCCCATGAGCAGCATGATATCCAGCATTAAACATTATTGCAAGACCTGACTCTCCAGTGGGGGGCTGCGTTTAGCCCCTGGCTCCCAGCCTCAAGTTTCACAAATATGTTTTAAAAATATTTTATTTTCATATGTAATGTATGCTTTGGACAAATAATCAATATTTGATTTGATTTAAATTGGTGCTTGGCCTGGTCAAGAAAGAATGACTATGGTTTTAAAATTGTAAATTGATTATTTTAAACTATGTTTTTATTTCTGTAAAAGTGACTTCAGAAAAAAAGGAGACAATAAATCGTTTTTTGGCTAGAAAATCAACAATGTCTTCCACATCTATATATATATATAAAGTTGTAATCTCTGTCTGTTCGTCTGACTGGGTGTCTGTCTGTTTGTTTGTCCAATCATAACTCAGGAACCCAAGAACCGATTTTCCTCACATGTTGATTCGGGAACTCTGGAATGTTCTAAGCTTGGTTTAAAGATTCTAAGTCTAGTGGATCGACTTTAAAAGCAAAAATTGAGTTTTCCGGTAAAATAGATCAAGTGCGGGTAAACGGCGGGAGCATTTTTTAGTAACCTGGGCAGCGCTGGGTTCCCAAGCTTCTTTGTAAAGAATTACATAGCTGTTTGTCTGTTTGAACGATTTGATTTGATTTGACTAAAATTTGATTTGGGAACTCGGTCATGCAGAGAATGTTTTGAGCTTGAGTCTAAACATCTAACCATTACAGAGAAAGCAAATCTAGGTTTGAGGCAAATCGGTCAATGGGTTAATGAGTTATGATCTACATAAAAACAAAGATTAAAAACAGAGATTACTACTTTATATCTCTTTATATAAAGTAATAATCTCTGTTTGTCTGTTTGTTTGTATGTCCGATCATAACTCAGGAACCCCTTGTTCAATTTGCTTCAAATTTTAATTGGGGAACTTGGCAGAAAACAACAGGAATGATTTTAATTTGGATTAAAATTTTTAATTTGAGTGGGTTGAATTTTAAAATGAAAGTTTAGCAAAGCTGGGTTCCCAGGCTAGTTATTTATAAGATAATGGTTTACTAGAGTACTCTCTGTAAAAATTAATTGTATCGCTTTTAAAAGTTTTCAAATGGTGTACTAACTGATTTTACAGTAATGTAAAGAAAAGGGTGAATAGATTCCGTATAGTACCTGAAGTCAGAATCTTTTTATGTAACTCTACCTGTCACCCGATACCTGGGAAATGAGCTAGTTAAATAAATGGTATTAATTATTTGTATTTGTAAAATAAGGCTTATATTATGATATGCCACAAAGTTAGGTTTGTTTCTGACATTTGGTATTGGATTGTTTGGCGATGTATACTTTTTAACAGGGTGTACCTATATTTATATATACTCTTTAGATACAGGGTGGAACTTCAATTATTTACGTTTTTATATAGTTAGTCTAAGGTTGTGACAAAGGACAGTGCCGGCCAAGGAACTATATACAGGAACTCCCAACTCAGATATACGTATATTATGTACTGTACACTGTGGGAGGAATGTAAACAAACCCAGTGCTCCCACAGAAGTTGAAGGGAAAGGACTAAAACTCTGATGCGATATTACAGTCCAACAAAAAACAAGTTAAAATATCAAGTTAGAGCGAATGCATATGATTTATGGCTTTCTGATCAATATGGAAAATACAATAGAAATATATTTTTATTCCACCCTTTGGGCCCTTTCCCTCAAAAATGATGCACTGTCCCTGAATTCTTTGTTTTGATCTCCTCCCACTGCAGTACACAGATTTGACGCATGAGAATTGGCGGTTCCTGGTCTATATATTTCTTGGTGCCGGCGAGACATTTGTCCGACGATTTGCAGTACGATTTTCAAAATGGAAACAATAGTCTGAAAAATATAACGCATACTGACATATATATATATATATATATGAATGTTACAACTTACAATGCTCCCTAATAATATATGTATGTATATAATATGTAAATATATAAATGTTACAAGGTTTGTTGAGGGACAGGGCTCTAGTACTTTGGAAGTTTAGGTCATTTCCTCCCTATTGTGAGGAGAAGTGAGATAGATTTGGAGAGATTTCAACATATTTGGTCAAAATATTCAAATTCCTAGTCTCACACACATATCTGTGTACTTGAGGGGGATCGTTTTGAGCAAGGTTATTATGCAAGGAAAGTTATTTCAGAGGTGTACGCATCTTTTTACTGCAGTGTACTGGTCTCTGGGCGGTAAAGTAAACACAAGTCGGATGTCGCAGTCTGCCATGGGAATGGGATCCATCTTTCACATAAAACATTAATGAAATATTCTGGTCATAGGAAACTATTATGTGAATTATCAAAATTGTTAAAATTAAATGCTTTTATCCTCCTCGGATACTAAACGAACACTGGTGCGTCTATTCTTGTTTACAAATTCCGCCCAGAGAGAACTAGGTTTCAAAATGTACACTGAGTATACACAACTGCAACTAGCTTTCCTTGCATTATAACCTTGGTTTTGAGGGTTGTTTTTAAATCTTAAAGTTTGTAAATTTTTAAGAGACTGTTCAAGAATCTGATATGTAAAAAGTGCATTCAAGTTTGTTTTATTTGTTATTCGTTTTGATTAAAAGCTTTGATTAGAAAAAAAATCGCATAAGCAAACTTATTGAGAATGCAACTTTGCAATGTGAGAAATAAATGACATGTTTGTGAAACACTTTTAACATCAAACAACCCTGAATGTCTCTAAACGAATTTCAAAACGACGCCCATCAGTTAAGTATCTACTTAATCTATCTATTCTATTTTAATTTAAAGGAAATTTTATCGTGTATCCTGTATTCTGTATCCAGTATCCTGCATCCTGTATCCTGTATCCTGTATCCTGTATCCTGTATCCTGTATCCTGTATCCTGTATCCTGTATCTTGTATCCTGTATCCTGTATCCTGTATCCTGTATCCTGTATCCTGTATCCTGTATCCACAATTGTTTAGTAAGTATCCTAAAATAAAAAATATAAACCGTCAATGGCGGCCCAGAGGACCCAGAGGTATCAAATTTATTTATAAATGGGTTGAGTTACATTCTAGAGACACTTTAAAGATTTCTTAAATAAGCAGAATGATGAATATTTAGCAATCAATGTAATGCAAGTTAAGCAGCTTAGTTTGCGGAATTATATATTTTTTAAAAGCTTTTGGGCTTTATTGTTAGAATCAAGGAATAAAATAAAAGATAAATATTAAGTTATGTCAGAAAAACAGTAAGGACAGAATAAGGACTAAAAAATAATAAGAAGAAAAAAGTTGTTCATCAAAAAATATTCTAATTACTCTAAATATATGTTCCACACCGAACAGGAAAGAAGGAAAAAAAATGTAAGTTTTATGCGACATTAAAGACTGTGTTACCTAGTAGCTCGACTATTTTTGATTTTGAGCACAAGTAGGAGAAAAGTAAATTTGAAATTCAAAACATCTGTATTCTTCTTAGAGAGGTTAATTTAGTTTAACGTGGTTCTGACCAGCAATGTCGTGGTTTTG